CACCTCAAGTATTGATCTCTAGCCCGTGTATCCCTCAAGTGTTAGGAATTATAACCTCTCTCTAGGCATTAGCACCTACCCCACTCCTCTTGAGACGACCACGTCTCTCACCACACACTCCTCTTGGTGTGTGTAATACAAAGAGAATCCTCATAATTAAGCACAAATACACTTCACACAATTGCAAATACACTTCATACCCTCTAAGTGTTGGCCTAGCCCGTGTCACCTTCCTCAAATGTTCGGAATTACCACCTCTCACTAGGCTTTACTACCGACCCCACTCCTCTTAGAACTGATCTCGTCTCTCACCAATCACTTTTCTCGGTGTCCAAGTATAATACAATGTGCAACTCTCACAATTAAAGCTCACAACAAATGATTGTTCTTTAAACAAAGTGAGAACTCAATTAAACACAACTCAATGTTATAATCTCTCACAACCCCAATATATTATGTATGTAAATACTAAAAGCTCAAGTGGGTGTGTGTAACAATAAGATTTAATAAAACAAAATCAAACTAAATTCAATTATAAAAATCTAGCTTATAGAGATGATAATCAACAAACAATATAAATACAAAGCTAGAAATTAAGTTTAGAAAACTTTTCTATAGATAACAAGAGAGAGGGAGAAGAGTGAATGCTCAAACACTAAAGGATGATCTTCACTTGCTCTTGTGAAAGTTACTTCACAAACTTAAAACTCAAAACTTAAACTTGAAACAAACACTAAACACCCTTTAAACTTGTTAAACCTCTTTTAAAACTTTTCTTAATTACTTCAGAATGTTAGAAGGCAAGGGGTATATATAGGATCAAGAAACAAAGCCAAAACCCAAGAAAACCAAGCAAAAAAGACAAAATAATGGAAATATGAAAATCAGGAAAAACTAGCTGTTATGATGCCGTCGGTCGACTGATACTGTTCATCAGTCGACTGATCTCATCAGTCGACTGGTCAGTCGACCAGAAGAAAAACAAACAGTTTCAGAGTTCTAGAATTTTGCATATCTAAATTTATAAAATCAATTAAAAATAGTAAATAAAATCCAAATATCATGAAATTTTGAGGGAATGTTCTAGGCATGTAGATAAACATGCTAGAGAAAGAATTTCTAAAAGATTACTTCCCACTTTAGAGAAATAAATATTTGAACACAGATATTACAGTTTCTGAAAACTGCTGAAACACTCGACTTTGTAAAATCAATTGGACACTGTAAATCAACTCCAAAATTCATGAAATTTTGAGGAACGTTTCTAAACATGTATGTGAACATGTTAGAGAAAGAATTTTTTATATATCACTTATCATTTGAGATAAATAATTTATTTTGTAAACTGGTCAAAAAACTAAAAAACTAAAAACTGCAAACAGGTCATCGGTCGACACATCAGTCGACTGATCAGTCGACTGAAACAAATCAGAGAGAAAATAAAGATTCTAGGCACATTCATTAGTTGACTGATCAATCGACTGAAATCATCAGTCGACTGATAACACACTATCAGCCTGTTTAAAATTAAAAAACTAATTTTTGAAGTGCCTTTAAAAATAGCAAACAAATTCTAAAAATTATGAAACTTTGAGAAATATTTATAAACATGTAAATGAACATGTTACAAAAATAATTTTTGGAATTGCACTTCACATTTATAAAATATTATTATTTTATAAAATAGTCCAAAACATAAAAACTAAACATACATGTTTTTGTCATTTGACATAAACACAATATTAAAACTTTTATAAAATGATTTTATAGACTTAATGAATTGATATAAAATATTGTTATAAAGTTCATAAATAAATAATTAAATATTTTCACAAATTTATTTTTGTATAAACTTGAAAACTATAAAACCAAATCATGTATATATATATATTGTATGGGGTTCCTGCTTTCACTAGTAGAAGTACGCGTCCTAGACGGACGGACCTTTCTTAATGGCTTGTGTCCGTCTAAATTGCGGAGATTTCTACTAGTGAAAGCAGGAACCCATATAAACAATCAAAGAACTAAATAACATACGCAACAAAATAAGCAACTTCGGAGCCTGAAAAATTCTCAAGAAATAACATTTAAACAAACATTAGTACAAATCAGTCACACCCACATCCTAAACAGAACTAGGAACCAAAAAACTACATAAGCGGAATTATTCAGCACTCTCAAACTATAGTACAAATAATTTTAAGAAAAATCGACCGCGACAACAAAGGTATGCTTCTAGATATTCTGCAACTGAGAGAAGGATATCCTGATGATAGCCTCATCAATAGTACTTGCGTGCTTGCAAACAAGAGCCTCGGTTGCTTGCTCCTCATCCTCAAACATAACCAGAGCTTGCTTCTTCCCATTTGCTTCAAAAACTTTGGAGTTGACAATGGTTCCGTGCTCCTCTAAGTGGGCTATGATATCTTCCTCCGTGATGTCTTGAGGAAGTGTGGAGATATGTATTATTTTGGTTGGAGAGCAGCAGTATCGGTAGTTTTTGGCTGCATTGCGGTTGAAACGGTTCAGGCTGGACCCCGCGTACTCGTGGGCATCGGCAGATGGTGTTATGTTTGAGAATTTTGAATAGTTCACTTCCAACCTCCTTCCAAACAATATAGCTCCCTGAACATATTAAGAAAGAATTATGTATATAGGGGTCCAGACGCTAACAAAAAGTTTTCAAGGATAATTAGCTGCCATAGCAAGAATACGAGGGCAGTGTATCTACAAATCAAGGTTTTAAATATCAGATTTCGTGAAAATATCATATAGCCAAAATTCATATTGATTGCGGATATGGGGGAAATATCACGAAATGTGGTAAATATCGGAATGCCATAACATATGCTTGCACATATAGTATAATGCAGTAAAATATAATCTCAACATACCCGCTATAGCTAGGTACGAGGGGAGTGTATCTACAGATCAAGGTTTTAAATATTGTATGGGGAATTATATCAAGGTTTTAAATATTGTATGGGGAATTATATCAAGGTTTTAAATATTGTATGGGGAATTATCAGATAGCCAAAATTCATATCGGATTGCGGATATGGGGGAAATATCAAGGATATGTGGTAAATATCGAAATGCCATAACAAATATTTGCATATATAGTATAATGCAATAAAATGTAAGCTTAACATACTTAATGAAATCTAAGCATACAAAATGTAGATAATATATGTTTAGGATTGCTAATCAACCTTGTAAAACAAATAAAAGTACAAATCAACATTGTAAAATTTCATCTGATTTTTTTAGGCCAAATGTCATTTGATATAATGGGAAAATCATGATCTTGCCCAAAAATTGCCAAACACAGCATATTGTTTCACGACGAACCATATAAAAGGATACATCAGCCAACATATTGGCTGACATATCGGCGATATCGGGGATATATCTCCTAAAATAGCAAAAAAAGGGTAAAGTATTTCGCGACCATATTGGTTGTGATAAGCACAGTAAAAGGATATATCAGGCGATATATCTGACCCCGTCAAGGATATTTAAAACAATGTTACAAATAACTCTATGTAATATGGATTTGGATCCTCTCCGCTGCCTGGTAGTGGAACTTTTCATCACGGGCATCTATTTAGTGGATGGTTGTGATTCATCTTGAGTGAAAATGGAAATGGATGAAACCCGGGAGATATGGTAATGGCTAAGATTTTGAATGAATCACTACCACCTACACATTAATAAACGGATAAGACTAATGTGGTGGAAGAGGGTGCAAATCCATTTTTACAAAACCTATGAATATGAAAGGACTCAATCTATCTAGTTTCACCAGATCTCCAAGTTTATGCTTTTGCTGGTCAAGAAGAAATTTGACAACCCATCCATATCTTGCTTATAGTTCACTGACTAATTCATTTTTCAACTTTCTAATTGATTTTTTCAATCTGAAGTTAGCTAGATTGTTTTTTTATAGGAAAACGGGGAACACAGTTTAACAATTGACTGTATAATTAACAAACTAGAAATTTCCTAATACTCAGAAAATTCAGTAAGTGTATGACCACCAAACGAAAAATGCTAATTTTTTTAAGTTATAATAAAGGCAATAAGCAAACCTTCAAGAAATGTACAGCTAATTCAGCCTGGAAACCATCTGCCATCTCAACAAGCGCATGATCAGGCTTATTGTGTAGTATTTTAATTCTTATAATATTCCCATACAAGGAAAATAAATTAAAAATCTTGTCCGCATCAATTTTCTGCAGGAAAGAGAAAATAGAAGGATTAAAGGGATGACACTGGAGAAACACGAAAGAAAGGTAAAAGAGCTCTATGAACGTAAAAGATAATAATCACCTCGGAATCCAAATTTGATACTAGAATAGTGCATGCAGTGTTAGTACCAGATATCCCAGGAGGCAGACCTCCACCAAATGCAGCTGCAACAGCTGCAGCATTACCCATCTAACAATACAGTGGAATCATCTCATGAGAGAAGTTGTGTATTTACATATAAAACATTAAACATCAAATTAAAAAAAAAGAGAGAAGAAATTAGACAGGAAAATAGACAATTGAGATGATTGCATCTCATCACATGTAACCAGAACTGGACTAAGCCTCACCCACCTGTGGAAATGCAACTGAAATAGAAAAAAAGTAAAACAAAGATGAATTAGCAAAATGTGAAAAATGCAAGAAATGAGCATGAGGGAGAAAGAAAGTATGAAGCAAGCACCTGCCCTGGCTCCATGAGGGAATGCATACAAGCCTCCAACATCTCCAAACCCCTGCTGGCATGAAAATATACAGATAAAACAGCAAACAACATTATTTCATGGCTTCAAGCCAAAAAGATTTCAAAATATAGGTACTGCCAACTAGCTATTCAAAAGTATGATAAAGATACTTACTTGGGAGGATCTACCTCTTTGTTCTGAAGGCAAAGATGGATTGGTGAAATCTCTGAGCATACACACCACAAATAAACTTGTGATTAAGAAAATTCTTTGAAAGAGGGGAAAAGAAGACAATAGGACAGAAAAGATAAAACAGTCATCAATGACAAGAGAAAGAAAGAGATGTTATTTTAGAACCATTATTTCAAAAAAGCATTAGGTGCTTTTGGGTGTCGTCCTGGCGCCTGGTACCTAGAGCAGGCACCTAAGTGCCGCGTAAGTATCTTTTGGCCCATGCATGCGGACACACAAATACATGCAGATATAATTATTTATTTATTATTTAAAATCTCTACTAAATATATAGAACTCTTTAAAGGTGCAGAATATCTAGAAAAAGAATAAAGAGAGGAGAAAAAGAAGAAATATGATGAAAGAAGAAAAAGGAAGAAGATTATGAAGTTCAAGATTTGTTTGTAAATATGAGTAGATAACACTAATACAAAAATAAATCAAAAACAATTTTTTTCCGAAGTCAAGGAGGCAGCTCCGTTGATGGTTAGGGCTTGATGGTTCATGGTTGTGCCTCTAGAAGTTGTTTGACAGAAGAGACTCGGGCCTCCGGAGACAGAGAAGAGGAAAATGGCTTTCTGCAAATAAAAAAGCCTAGCTCTCTTTGCGCTACTGGGCTTAGAATCCAGGACAGAACTCGTAAACTTCACATCATGCTCAAAAGGGCTGTACAATAGTTTCTTATGTTATGTGACACATGGAAGTAGTATGCATCTGCCTAGGAATCCCCAAAGCAGCCTAGGCTCCATTCCAACTGGCTAGGCACCAATGAGGACACCCATACCACTTTTAAAACAAAGTTCAGAGCATCAGGCAAAGGATTTATTCTGATTGTCAAGGGTGATTTTGTTAACATTCAAGCATAATACGTGGTTTGGCAGCAAACAACTTGCTTTAACACTTTGCTATGTTCAAAAACTTTCAAAAATAAACTGATAAGCTAACTATTATATAATGGAAACAACATATTTCACTAAATTAACAGACAAAGCTTAGTCAATATAAACATACCTAGAGCGATCATTGTTGTAATTAACTTGCAGTTCATTAAGGCTGCATTGTGAACAAAGAAGGGAGATTGGTAAGCTTTACAGAAAAAAGAGACTAACACAAGGGGAAAAGTGAGTTTAGTACTTGGAAAATTGTATATCTAGCTGACAACAAGCATCATATATATTGCGTCCCTGCACCCCAAAAAAATCATCATCAAATCTCATCAAGGAAAACCTTCTCAAGACAGCCAATATTGCATCCATCTTACGGAATGTGTTACTTACTTGCAGGTTATTCCTTGCTTGCACAGCACATTGGGTTGATTGATATTGTATAAGGGCTTGGAAACCTACATGAATAAAGAAAATAGTTGAATTTTTTTTGGGGGGGCCAGTATTCAATTGTTTACTTTGATGATCCACGATTGTGAATAAACCATGTTCTATGGTTGTCCCACGAAAAAGGGAAAGCAGAGGAAAACGAAAGCATTTCAATGTTTCACTGTCAAGAGGCTTAAAGCGGTAGCTACAAAAGACAGCTGAAATGAATACAAGTGCCGCTGACAAAGTAAAGGACTAATAAATCAGGTTCACCTATAAGTTTTTAAAAAGCTCAAAAGATACTATAAAAAAGAGATGGAAACATGAAGCTGACCAGCTGACTTCTGAAATGTGACGATCTTCTCCACAAACCCATGAGGAGAAAACACTTGATGCAGCACTTCCACAGTTATAGGATAGAGCATGTGATGTATTGTAACTAAAAGGATCCGATTGGGTTCTGAATCCTGAGTGTCCAACAGCAGATTGACATAGAGACAGAAGAAAGAGAGAGAAGAATAAATAGAGAAGAATAGGTAGAGAAGAATTACTAGCAGGAAAGAAAGATTAAGAGAAAGAACATATTAAAACTCTTCAGTTTGTTAGAGAAATAAGAAAAGAACTAAACACAAAGGGCTAGAAAAATACAAAGAAACTACCAAATACGATCAGCTAAATATAACATCACCCACCATCCTGTTTTAGCCTCAATGCATCTAACATGTCAAGCAGCAAGCTGAGTGCAATGAGCACAAAAATAGGCTCGCTTCAAACAATCTTGACCAAGTGCCATATGACTATCACCTCATTGGTTAGTCAGATGGTGTGATGAATAAGCATGCCAGTAGCATCCACTGTCTAAGATAACAAGAACACCAAGTGTATCAAGAACACCAAGTGTATCAAGAACACCAAGTGTATCAAGAACACCAAGTGTATCAAGAACACCAAGTGTATCAAGAACACCAAGTGTATCATGCCCTGTTATTTATTGCAGACTAAAATGTCTCTTCCAAACATTTTTCAAAACACGTCTCAAATTTTAAAAATTTAATATGCAAATTTTTAGTACATATATTGCGGAAGCTCTGATATTATCTTAGTGTACTGTTACTTACTGAGCTATGTTAAGTCATGCCTGATTTCCATGTAAGGATTTATAAATAATTATGTAATAGAATGACCCCCACTATGGTAGTTTCTGGCCTTGCTCTCATTCAACTTTCAGCACATATCTATAGAGGAGAATTAACATAATTTCCAACACATAAACCATGCTTACCAAAGTAGAAAGTAATAGGTAAACCAAATATGAGTCCTCCATGTCAGGAACCCATTCAATAGTAACCAGACAAATTACTGGCAAACATAAAATATTAGAACCAAAACATAGAACACACCCTAAATAGTAAGTTAAGGGCTATTGTCATTATTGTTCCAGAAGAATTAATGGCGTCAATAAGAGTATGCAAAGTTCAGCGCAAGTAAGCTATACACTTCAAAATGCAGTTATGCTTGAACTTTTGTAACATTATAGCCAATTTTGCTTATAATGCACTCTGCTGTTGCAAATCCAGATAGAGTTTTGAGTTTTCTATGATGATGCGCCTAGCACAAATGATTTGAGGAACTGGATTTCCTAGCATTTAAGAAACAGATCACTTGAGGTAAGTGCAAAGGCCTAGTAACATACTCACTAAATGAACCATGACACCTAGCCTCATCCAGGCTGAAGTGTGTTAAATACTACACTGTTTGAGGAGACTACTTCAGTATTTGCGTTCAACAACAAAGATGAATTTCTCTTCTTCTCAATATGACAACGCAAAAACAAGTTACCTGTCTAACTAAATGTCAACATGAAAGCAAACTAGTACCAAAAAAACTAAACCTGCAGCAGGTTCTATGTCAAAATAAAAATGAGCAGTGTTTTAAAAAGCGGCCTAGTCGGATGCCTACCCGTAGGTGGACCAATTTTCGCCTAGATTTGGCTGGAGTGGCCAATCTAGCGGCCTAGGGCTAGGTGTCCGCTTAGGCAGACCGCCTAGCTTTTTAAACCACAAAAAATGAAAGAAAAACCCAAAAAAACCCAGCCCAATCAAGCCCAAATACTAAAACCCAAACCCGACCCGTTACTTAACCTAGCTAACCTTAAAGTTGTTTCTCTCTCTCTCATTTTCTCTCTCGTTCTCTCCCCAACCCAACCGCCCACCTCCAACTTCTCCTCCACCTCCGCAACCTCCGCTCTATCCTCGTCTCTCCCTCTGCCTCCTCCTCCACCTCCTCTCCCTCCGTGATCAAA